TGGATGATTAAAAAGGAAGACAGAAGAAGTGGAGAATAATGAATATACTATGGACTATCAAAAGAGTGAACAAGAAGTCTTAGGAGAAATAAAAGTAGAATGTTCCTTAGAAATGAGGATGTCAAGACTTTTACTTTCTTTCTTTGGACAGGTCATCATGAAAGATCAATTGCTAGAAATAGGCATCCTGATTTGCTAATGAAGAGAACTAACAGAAATGAGGGGAAACAACAAAATGGATCAGCATAGTAGCCACAACAATAGATGCAAACATACCAAGGATCATGAAAATGACACAACACTGGGCAACATTTTATACTCTTCTGTGTACAAGCAGTGAGACTAAGAAAAATTGGATAAATTATGTATACTGCATTGAAACAGATGAGGGACAAAACCGTTTAAAAGTGATATATGTTTGCGTATTATGGTTATGACAAAAGTCCAGAATGAAGGTTGCATAATGGAGTGTACTGGGGTGAGGGGGATTGTAGACTGTATACCAATAAAGGAATTTTACTTTTTAAAGAGAAAACTGGGGGGAAGGGGTGGGCAGGGAGAAAAATGAAACAATGAATGAATGGAAATCCAAAGTCTCTGTAAATGTTCATTAAAATTAATAAAATAAAATTTTTAAAAAACCAAAAGAAAGTTGGAGCTGACTTGATAACTAAAAACAAAAAGCACAAGCCTTGTCAAAGAGGACATCACAGTCAGGCACACAAGAAATGATGCTTCAAGATTCATTTTAAGAGATCTTAGAAAGTCTGGCCATTATTTCTCTGCCTTTTGTCACACTGTGATAGCTTGTGTTTGCTATGCTGCCAGAAGGTTCAGCACTAGTATTATTGCCCAACTTTCAGATGCATATCAAGTCATTGAGAAGACCATGGTTTGAATTGGACATGCATTAGTTTTAAATTCACATCATTGCTCTTTAGCATTTGGAGAAATCTCTGACAATTAATAGAGACCCTATGAACAACAGACCTGCACTCTGCCCTATCTGTCCAGTGCCATCCTCATCATCGTTGATATACTAGAGCCGATTCCTGAGTCACTGTGTTTGTCCATCTCATTGGAGGTTTTCCTTTCCTTCAGTGACCCTCAATCTTTCCAGTCATGATGGGGAGCCTTGCCTAGCATCATGTCCAAACTATGAGACATGAATCTTCATCATCTTTGCTTCCAAAGGGCACTCCGGCTTCACTTTCTCCATGACTCTGTTTATTGTTTTGGTAGTTTATGGGATATCCAGTATTCTTCTCCAGAACCAAAACTCAAAGGCATCGATTCTTTCTCAGTCATCCTTATAAATTGCCCAGTTTTCTGATGTGTAGCAGTTGATAGAAGATCATAGCCTGAATAAGCACACCTTAGTTTTCAAATTGACATCATTACTGTCAAGTATTTTGGAGATGTCCCTGACAGCAGACTTGCCCAGTGCAATACATCTCCTTATCTCCTGACTGCTG